ATATATAGTTTATTGTGTGGTTAGATATCGATGATACTATTTAGAGCCGCTACGGAAACTGGCAAACACTAGTAGCGCTAGTAGCGTCAATAAAAACAATGGTGCCGTATAGTTGGTCGGGGATTCAATTGAACCAACTTTCACTGAGTTGTTTAATTCACCGTTACGGAGTAAGCATTCTTAAAAGAATTGCTGGAAAAAGTAATTAATAATAAAAAAAGAAAGAAAAGTATTTGTTATTCCCTTGGGATTTGGATTTTAACCACTGAGCTACGATGGCAATTTTGGCTAAGACTTGGATTTATTTTGGCTTCACTCGCCGTGCTTATCCACAACCGAAGTTAAAATAATAGGATAAATGTCAGAAATCGTTTACTTAAAATTCTAATTGTTAAGTAATTATAATTTGATTCATCGTACATGTATCGTTCTGTATCAATCTTCGAGTTATGCTGCCATTGGCGGCTTGATTTTAGTATGCACATAGCGAATGGCCACCAGTCCAGCAAATATTTCATCGATTAGATTCCGATCCACTTGGATTTGGTGGCATGTTTTTTCCATTTAAATAAACGTTCGTGTTCGTTTGGCAAATTCGGTTTCAAAAGAGGTTTATGCCTGTCATGTCGTAGCTAAATATCAGCATTTATACCTTACCTTTTAGCTGATCAAACCGTGATGTCATTTTGAACTGAGATCCAAAGACAACGGCAGATGAAGTACCAATAACGAGAACTACCAAAACGCGATTCATTTCGATGAAATACTCGTCTTTAAGTAAGTTTCCAGCTGCGCTTTGATAATCTAAGGTTTTTTCTTGTGACCTAGCAGATCTGGCAACTATAGACGTTGCACTGGCAATTCATCAACATTTCAATCTATAATACTCATTTAGTATGGTGTCCTTTTGTGTTATCACACTTTTAGGGTCAGAACTAAATGCCAACACCAGCTTATCCGTTCCTGAATAAATCATAATTTACTATGAAATATACGTAACGTGAACATATTAGGCGCACAAAGTGTGTAAACTAATTGAGAATGGTGGAAACTAGCGGTAAACTAGCGTGAGCTGCGTCGGTGTTTTTAAAGAAACAGTTGTGTAAAAAGATAAATTTAACACCGTTAAAAATAGGTGAAATTATTAAGTTATTTCACCTGTTTGTTACGGTGTCAAATTTATATTTTTTTTTAAACAAACTAGTTTAGATACTAGACTCCGTGAAAAAGGAAAGGCAACCAAAAACTGTTATCTGTTAGGGTATCTTTTTAAGATGACATATTAATTTACAATTCCAAAGTCAATGTTTTACAAAAACGCCACAAGCTGGATTCTTTTCATATTGATATTTTAATGCCCATTCATTGTGATTGTTCGGGTGTTCGAGAACGTTTATTATTAATAAGAGTTACATAACGATCGTTTTCATTGGATAAAAAGCAATTCAAAGATATACTGAACATAATTTTTT